TGATCTCAATTGATCAATACCACAGATTTATGCAGAGCCAGATTATACAAAAAAAAATACGAAGTTATACAATTTTTTTTAATGTCAAAACACTATTGTGCACCTATATTGAATGATAGAAAACCAAACAGACATGATAAAAATTTTTCAATTAAGATCGTTTTTTTTAATTCTGCAAAAAAAAAATTTTTAAATTAAATCAATTGAGCAGATGCTTTAAGATATTCAATCTTTTAAATATGATGCTAGGGTTTTTAATTTTAAATTCAGAAATTAAAGTTGGATTTCAACTTCTAAACTACAATTTGACTTCTATTTTCAATTTGTTTTCATAAATGCAACACAATTGCTCGGTTGCTTCGTGTTTCCACTAACAGACCAGCGAATCGCTAAAATTAATAACGTCAATTGTATAAGGAAGGGCAATCAAGCTACACCCCTGATTTTTGTTATAAAACTCTAATTAAAAACAATAGGGTTTTTTTTTACTTAAGAATGTTATTTGCACGAAACTTGATGCAAAATTTGCGAACTTTTTTCCACATGCGAACTTGGAACGTTTTAAAGATATGTATTTTTTGAAAAAAAAGGGGTATCTGAACTGCTTAAAATGTTTTTTGTCGGCTTCTAAAAAAATTATAATCGCTCGATGAAAAAACCAATTTGGAAAGCTGAAAGGTGCTTTAATTCCCTTTTTGGCGGACGGAATAAAATCACCATGAACAAAACTATAATAAATTATATTAGTTTTTTGTTTGATGCAAACTGCTCGTCAATCCAATTTTTAATTTCGGGAAAACACCGAAATTAAACCTATCACTTTAGACTTTTACTCTAAACTTACGCTTTAAACTTTTAAAAGTATCACTTTAAAGCGTATCACTTTAAGCTTTTATGTTTCAAGAAACTAATCGGGTAAGAGCCAAAAAGATTACTCTTTGAACAATATAAACAAAATTAATTCAATTCATGCTTGCGAAAAGTCAAGGGAAAGGCAAATTGCAAAAGAGTTTAACTATAGCTGCATCCAAAATCCACTAAAGGTGGAATCCCTCATGCACGAAGGACCGAATGCGCGAAAATACAAATCAGCCAATCAGATTTCAGTAATCTAAAATTTGGAAAGAAAGTAAACTTTTCCAGTGACTGGAGTAATGATTTTGACCGAATCTAAAAACGGCAGAAAAATGCAAATTCTTCAATTTTTTTATTGATCGCCGCAAAAGTGGGACAAATTTTACCTTTAAATAACTGAATGGCAATTGTTTCTGTTTAAAAATTGGCTTTCGGCTAATTTTGTCTTCGGTGCTTGGCCTGCAAGTTTTTTCACGCATTCTGTCCTTCGCGCAGGAGAATAGCCCCGCCAAGAAGTTGTTTGGGTGTAGTAGCGATAAGCATATGTGCTAATTAGCATAAAATAATCAATTCAATTAGGTGCTCACTCATTCAGTCGAAAAACAAATTAGCCTGATTTTCAATTTAAAATGAAAATCACTGATTTGCTTAATAAATATAAAATTACACGTTCACCTATTTAAATTTTCGGCGAAATGCACAAATTGTAAAATGGCAAATTTGCGTTCAAAAAAATTGAAGCAGCGAACGAGTCAACAGCATTATTTTACATGGAGAATGCTAGTCGACACTTATATTGTTACGGTCCAGCTTTTTATTGCACAAATGTGGCTAAAATCTATATTTTACGCTGAACGATTGGGCACTGTTGTTTTTATCGAAAATATCCGCTCATAGTTTTCATTAACCCAAAAAACAAAGAAACGAATAACTTAACTAGGAGAATAAAAGGGGGGAAAATAATGACCTAAACGTATCATTCCTGGTAAAAGTTGAACTTTGGTAAACAGATATTTTGGAATTCTGACCAAAAAATAATTACATGGTTTGCGTAATTTGATTTTTGTCAACTAAGTAAGGTTTTTTGGACTTCGGAAATTGCATAAAAACGAGATCAAAACGAGATACTCAAGTTGTATGAAACAAATGTGGTTTAAAAAATTGACAAATATTTTCATGGTGATATGCAGGGGCGGATTTAGGGGGGGGGGGGGGCTGACGCCTCCCCTCCTCAGGGAATCGACCCCCTGCCGACCCAAAGGGTCCCCCTTTGATACTTTTTCAGAAATCCATTTTTGGCAGACCGACCCTAAAATTTTTATAAAGGCGCCTTTGGCGCCAATATATACTAACTTTGAGGGGGAACGCGCGCCAAAAAAACGCGATTTTTTTTTTGTCAAAATTTTTCAAAAATTGCCCAAAAATGGCTTTTTTGACTGTTTTTTCAAAAATTTGCCTGCGGCGCTGAAAATTTAGCCAAAATAGGGGTAAAACAGTGCTTTGGGAGAGCTCGAAAAATCAATTTGGTCGACCTAAAAAAAAAGGCCGTCAAAATTTTGAAATTTTTTTTGAAAATCTGCCCCCCCCCCCCTCGAGAAAGTCCTAGATCCGCCCCTGGTGATATGTTATCGCAGGGTTACTTCAAATATTTATTAACAAATGGTCCCAATGCGAATCGAGCCCGAACCTCTGCAATAATAGAAATTGAATCAATCAACTCAGAGTTCTTAAAATATTAGTATTATTAGGAAGCCAAACACATGAAACAACTGCTGGTTATTCTCGGTTTTGATTTTAAAACTAAACACTTCGACTCAAAACTCATAGAGTGGTTGGTACGGTAGGTAACCCACATTATTGAAAATCATACGCCCCGGCTTGAATCCACGTCGAAGCCAACTTTTTTGCGCAGCTGAGTTATATCAGTTGGATCTGTCACCTATTGTAAAATGTCTCCTAATTTTAGGTAGTTTAATTTGCGTTGGTAATTGATTTTTTTATTTTGCATAATTGGCTTTATGAGTTTAGTTCAATTCATTCTGAATAATTTAAGAACGGGAATTGTTTTCAAAAGCTTTATTTTCATACGCCTGCTATTATCAGTAAATTAATTGCGGACATAAAATCGTTTTGAATTTTCTTTCAGCCAGTTTTTGCGTGCAGTATCGAAATAATCTAAATCTACTGCTTCAATTTAAAGTACCTTAACAATAAAATCAAAACTTGCACATATTTTTAGTCACTCATCATTTGAGTATCTAATGACTATTTTAGAATTGACTAATTTAAAATGAAGACTATTTTATCTCATATTTGATTCACATTGTTTTTCTCAGAATTTTATGATCAAACATTTCATGGTCAAAATTTAGTATTCAGAATTTCAAAGTTGGAAAAATCATTGGCTCTTTTTCCTTCCCCCCCCCCCCCCCCCCCCCCACCTGGAAATTTATCAAAAAGAGCGAAAAGAGCCAAGGAAAAAAGAGCCAAATCATGCTCCAAACTCTTTTGTCGGACTTCACCTGTCAAAATTTTCTTCAAATCTGCTTGCCTCTAAAATACTGTAGCGTTTTTCTGGAAATTCGAGTATTAAGAACAGAGTTCTTTATAAATACGAGCTTATGAGTTTGTATTTTTTGTCGAATTGAGATTTGTTTTATATTTCCAAGATCCTTGAACAATTTTCGAACTGATGAAATTTTTTTTGGATCGCTCGAATAAATTTTCCTATAACACACATCACGCACAATTATTATTTCACCATCTTTTGTGGGAATTACTTTATCAAAAGATCAATACTTCATATTTGAAAAGCTATAGCAACCCGGCAATAAATAATGGAATACGCATTAGTTTAACAACATAAATGAGCCGACTTCCCCTTAATGCGCATTTGCTTACGAACAAAATAGGGGAAAAAATTAGCATAAACTTGGAAAAAAATTATTTTGATGCGACTTTACTTGCCCGTATGTACCCTGATCTATTTTTTGCCCTTTCTTGTTGCATTTTTTCAGGCCGCGTTATTTACTTTCCCGCCTCCAAACTGAACCGAATCCTTTGTTATTGCAACAACAGGGAGCTTCCCTGAAGGCTGCTCTTTTTTCAATCATTCAATATTCATTGAATTGGTGCAGATTTGAGTTTAAACTTCACTGCAATGTCTTGTGGGTTGTGCTCTACCTTTTGAGCGGAATTGGGGGAAAATCGGGATAAAATTGATATCTTTTTCTTTTTTCTCTATTTTTTTATTTTTAAAAAGTGGTTTTCTTCCTGAGAAATACAACCGCAGAAACAGAAATGAACGAAAAGGACTTTTATGATGCAAGAAGAAAGATTTGTTTCCGACAACTTCAATAAATCTCAAAAAATGAGTTTTTTTCCGTTCTGATAACATTTTTCCCGTATTAATAATTGATATTTAGTTTGTATTAGAGGTTATAAATTGCATTGTTTTCCTTTCAGCACACCTGAGCAATCGAACTTGGATAATTTGGACCTGAATGATTTCGACTTAGTCATAAAATTACAATCAGATACTAAACCAACTGAACTCCGTTACAAAGAGGGAAATATTGTCTTTTCAGCTGCTAAAATTTGTCCCAAAAATTCCTACCTCTCAATTTTTACTGCCACTTGCAAACAGTTTCAATGCCCTAAAGCATTTCACACTGTCAAAGATTTCTGTATTCGAGATTACAGCAATTTTTCCTGCTCCGATCATATGTTTTTATGCCGATTACAAAACATCAAGAGTCAACGAAAATTCGACAGTTTCGATTTCAAATAAATTGGGAAACAATTTCGCAATTTCGATCGACTTCGTCGCGATTGACGGTGAAAATTTAGTAGTTTGCGCGAACTATTCCCTGTGGAAAATGTATATGGAAACTAGAAATTCAGAAGTTCCCGTTTTAATGGACGCGCTTTTTATTGTTTCTGGAATTTGTTCAACAGCCTTTCTGACCACAGCTATGGCTTTAATTCTAATTACTGTCCGGAAAAACTCATTTACACTCATAAGCTTCAATATTTTGCTCACTTTATTCTTCGAAAACCTTGCCATGTTTCCCAGAATTTTCACCAAAGACGGCGGTTACGTGTGTATAATCAGTGCCATAATTGACCACTTACTGCTGGGGTCGTTCTTTTTTCATGGGTTTGCGCACTCGCTTACGAGGAAATGCATTCTCAGAAACTGAACATGTTTCAACTGTATTCGAGACCCCAAACATGGCTCTACATGATTCTATGCTGGCTGTCGCCCATAATTCTGGTCATGATCAACACTGTCATGCATTTCCTGCAATTTGATTGGCTGATGCAGATCTACGGCGGCCAATCATGTTCAGTCAGGTAAAAAAAAGTCCGCACCTGCAAGGGTTATTTTTTTGTTCATGTTGTCCAATTGACATGAAAATTGGCATGTGGGTTAATTAACTAATTAAAAACTCTTTTTGTTTTCACGTGCAACTTTAATTAACAAATCAGTTCGATATAGAAAATCAATGGTTACATTCAGGCACGTATCTGGGATTTTCTCGAGGAGACGAAACTTCAAAACCTTTTTTAGGTCGACCCCAAATTGATTTTCCAAGCCAACAAAAACGGTATAAGACAATTTGCTGCTTAAATTTTCTGCCCCGCAGGGGAATGAAACCTTTTTTTTGAAAATTATTATTTAAAAACGGCGCTTTTTGGCTCGCACTGCCCCCTTAAAGTTAGTATATATTGGCACAGTCAGAAAAAAAATCGTTCGGCCGAAAATGGATGTCGTACAATAATCCGAAAGAAGGATCTTTGAGATACCACTGAGTCAAATCCCCGATGACAAGAGTACAGCCTATAGTCCTCCCCCCCACCCCCCCCCCCCTAAGTCCGACTGGTTTAAAAAAGACAACTTTTGGAATCTCGATTTGTTTCTAGTATAATCGCTACAGCAGATATCTATTCAAATTTGTCTTTGCGAGCAGTTCAAAGAGCACATGGAAAAAAATTATTTTTTGAATTAAAATGCGAAAACAGAAAGGGTGAATGAAAATCGCGTCCCATCTGCAACTCAAATTGTTCAGAGCTATAACCTCCAGGGGGCTCCCTTCACCCTTAATTAGGGATTTCTCTAAAGCTCACCAACTTTACGCCCTTTCTTTAAAAATAACCGAATGGCGTACGTGCATTTTTAATGATAGTACGGGCTTCTTAAAATAGGGAGCATAAATTGCAGACTTTGATCAGATTTGAAAAAAATTGCAAACTCAGTTTTTGCAAATTGCAAGCAAATATTTCGGATAATATTGATTTATATCTATCCAAAAAATATTTAGAGGGAAAAATTGCCAAAGGCGAGGAATTCTTGTTGGTATAGAGTAACTTTTTCACTGATCTTCTAAACTGTCTATTATGATCTCTGAAGAGTATGCCCTCGCAGTAGCGGATTTGAGGGGGGGGGGGGGATCCTTTTTCTTTAGACATTCAACTACCTTCCGACACCGACACAAAAAGTAGCCCTTTGTACTTGGCTGACTGAGCCTAAAATTTTTCTAAATTTTCACGTTTCCCCACAAATTTAGAACTCATTGAAACAAAATCGCTTCTAGAAAATTTCAATGGTTGTTCGACAAAAAAATTGGATGTCGTAAAATATTACCAAGGGGTCATTTTGGGTGGTCAGGGCGTTAAACCCTTAAGCTGCTTGCCCTAAATCCTCCCCTGGTTGAAATTAGCTTAATAAATATTATGTGTGCGTGTGTGTTGCAGTAATGTGGCCATCTTCCTGTTCTCGTCTGTGTTGCCGACTGCCATCCTGGTGACGTTGAGTGTGTTCTTCCTCATAGTGGCTCTGTACCACCACAAGCCCCCCTCCCCCACCTGGAGTGTGGAGACTGCAGAGTTCCACAGACGCTGGCTGTACGCCTCCCTCATTTTTCTCTTCCTCACAGGTCACAATCATCGCCAGTTCATAATTAAAATAAATACAAAATATAATAAAAACAAGATGGCCGGTTGCTGTGCAAGTAGCACAGAATGTTCCGACCATAATGAAAAAGAATTTAAAAAAAACTATATTTTTTCATATTTTTTTTCGCTTTTTCGATGATGATTTTTCGAAGTGATTTTGCTTGGAAAACTAAAAAAACTTTAGCACACCCGAAGTTCCTCTCCCATTTTCAATGTTCAAATGCTAAGCTAGAAAAAAATCAAATGCTTTGAGAACATCAGTACCTCAGAAAAACCTGCCGATGCTGTTTGGCAAAGATAACACCAATAATCAAAATACGCTACGCTCACAAGTGTAAATATGTGACCTTTTTGTCAGATTTCTGCAAAATCTGATCTTTCAAAAGAAATTTCTATCTCAAATTTCGTTTTGAGTCAAAATTTGTGGAAAAATTAATCGATATTAACGAAAACATCTCTTCTGTTTTTATTAGGCATGACGTGGTGTCTGCACTTGCTCTACAACATTGTGCAACTAGCCTACGCTTACTACGCATGCAGCTTCGCACTCCATATCCAGAGCTCAGTGTTCGGAGTAATCATCGGCTACTTTATGCGACTCGAACGAATATTCGAACAGGAGCATCAACGTAGATGGCGCGACGCTCTTTCCAAACGAATGATCCCATATCATAAAAGTAGTCCCAACAAATGCGCCACTTTGACCGTGAACCCTGCAACATCCGTTAGCATCAAGTCATTGACTCCCTCACTTAGACATAAAAGCGGGTTTGGTAATATCGGAACGCCAAACTTTGCAACCAAATCAGCAACACTTGGGCCCCCGTGCAAACCATTACGAAGCCTCAGCGACAACGGAGTTTTTAGTCTTCGCCCCGTAAATTCAGGTGTGAATCATTTACCAAATATGTTACCAAGTCCAATGGCTCGTTTTAACACGTTACAGAACCCGAGAAGTTTGGTACCGGTATTTTCTCGGAATCTGAATAACCCAAATTTATCTGGAACGTGTCAATTACGAGCAAATCTGGACCGTTCGCCACTTGATCGCGCTAGACGCGAAAGTCCTTCGGATATAACTTCGGAACATAACGGCAACAATTCGGATTCGGAAGAAAACGCATTTCTAAGCCCGAATAACGACAACGCCTCGGCAGGCAGCAGCTCACTTTCCTCGAGCCAATCCAGCACATATAAGCGAGTTACTTTCAGCCAATCAGGACCACCCAGAACTGAAACATCCAATCAGAATACAGAACAAACCAGCCAATCAAATGAGAACTCGAATGCGTCTAAAGTCCAAACGCGGATAAACGAATCAGATTCTTTTCGAAATACAGAGCGATTAAATATCGAAGAAAATGTCAATTTAGTGGTCGAGTTAGACTCTGAGCCTACCTGTAGTCAACTGATTGGCCCATAAAAATACCCTATATTTTACAGGGTTGCTATCATTGAGTTTTATTATGTTTACCGCAATTCTAGAAATGCACATAATAATGTTTCATAATTTCGAATTAGATTTATTTCTTTGAATGTTACAACAAAAATTTAAAGCCGTCTAATTAGTCTAGTTGCACTTTCAACTATAACTTAAATTTAATTTTAACTCCCTATATTTTTGATATCAATGCTAAAACACGATTCATGGGTAATTTATTTGCTGAGGAAGCAGCTTTAAACAACATTTAGCATCGAATCTTGTCAAACTTTACATATGATATTAACAGTAGTGAAAATTTTAGATACTCAAATCAGAGCTAGAAATTCATGGAAAATCCTAAGCTGCAAAAGTTTCAAAGAGTTCAAAGAAACCAAAAAATGACTAGAGAATAATTTTCAACTTTAGAAGAAAAAAGACTTCGCATTGGAGCTATTTGAATTTCAAAAATATTTTATCTTGAAACTTTTTCACACGAAAGCAAAGCAGATTGTCGCACTAATTGCGATACATCACAACTAGCCGACAGAAAATCAGACGAAAAAACACTTTTGAAAAATAACTTAAAAAAAGATCTACCAAAATACATTTGTCTCTGTTTGTCGTGAAGCATGTTCATCATGAGAAAAAAAATTATGCGGAAGATGATTTTCAGTATTAAAATAGCAGAAAATTACACAGTGGTAACGACAGAAAAATTGCACAGTGGTAATCAAGCCTATAAAACCAAAAACGCTAGTTCAGCAGAGAATAAAAAATATTTGCATAAAAAACTTTGAGCTAAGAAACATTTAGAAACTCGAGATTTCAAGTCCTCTCAACAAACAAACGCCAAGAAACTTTGTAACTCGCCAAATACAGAAAAATTAAGCAATTAAACTGATATAATGGGAGCAAAGAAGCAAAAAAACTTGAAACTGGACAATCGGCGATGGTTGCTTTACAACCAATATATAAAAAACTACATTACGAGGCTAAACTGTGTTTTTTGAGAATTGTAAGCGGATTCCGCAAAAAGGACGCTCCCTTTGTTCTTCTTTTGTTCATTCATTTTCTTTGATCGTTCCGACAAATTTTAACATGTTCAAAGAGTTGTCTCTGGAATCCAGGAACATACAGACACAAAATTGTGTTCCTATATAGTGCACAGTTTGGCCTCGTAATGCATGCTATCAAGACAACCAGTAGATACCGAAAAAGCAAACAGTACTAAACAGTACGAACTTGTTACTAAAAGCAACGACATTTAATGCAACCGTGAAGATAAACTAAGCTCATTTATCAGGGATTTCTAGTTCCTGAAAACGTTAAGTCTCGCTATGATTTGAACAAATAAAACTAGAGGACAGATTTGCTAACCTTTACTTCCTGACAACATACCACCATAGGGTTGAGAATTTCAATTTGTATTAGTTGTTTTTGAATCTAAGTTTGTGGAAAAAGTATTGAGGAAATCATGAGAAACGCTGTATCTCGGAAACAAAAAGGATTTGAACAGTCAAACTTGGACCCCAGATTTGAAACCTCTGAGCGCACCCTGACAGCACTCCGCAATAGGGCTAAAAATTTCAAGTGTTATTCGTTTTTTTTTTGTATTAAAATCCATAAAAACGCCATATCTTACAAACACACAAATTTGGGCAGTCAAATATGGATGCCATGTTTGCAACCCCTGAGTGTGCCCTGACGGCACCCCACTGTAGAGTTGAGAATTGCTATTTTGATTATTTAAACTGAAAAAAGTATTGGAAGTGTGCATAGCGAACTCAGAATTAAGGCATTCGCGCTCCAACCGATTTTAAAACGTCGACTTGAATAAACATTTTAACCCCCGCATGTTTTGTCTTTCTTAACAGATCAAAACAGGGACTTCTTGAATACGTGCCAAAGGGAATTTCTTAAGCATTGCAATATACGATATAGCTTAACTGCGCAAAAACACTTTCGTTAAACATACACGAATAATGATGAAAAAGGTGTCAATATAGGTACTTCTAGAACCTGTGCCAAGTGAAACGCAATCAAAATGTGTGAAATTATTGCGCTCTCTTATAAGCTATTTAAGTACGTGTAACAAAACTATATCCAACGAAACTATATCCAAAAACATTCTCCTACGAGATTTTCAATGTTCGCTATAATTTTCCAAATTTTTATTAAATCCATAAAAAGGCCATTGTTCGAACACTTTAATGCAGAAAAAAAAGTTTCATACCTGAGAAAAACTGACAAAAAAAAACTATTTCAAATTTTTTTTGTTGAAATTCCCAAATTGGCATAAGAAACACCGAAAACTAATTTTACTCAAGTAAAACTAAAACTAGCATAGAAAAGCTAGTACAAACGGTTTAAATTGAGCAAAAATAAGCCTGCGCGCTCGGTTTTTTTGCTCAAAATTAAAACGAAAATTTCAAACGGGTTTTTCTCAAAACTGAGAAAAATGTTTCAAAATTTGTCCGAATCACGACTGAAATATGATATATTACTCGACCTATTCTTACGATTATTTGTGGTACTTTATTTGTGTGGAAAATAACTAAGGATCAACTGTACAATCTCTTCCAGAATTAATATACTTTGTTATATTTTAAACACACCCGAATACAAAGTTCCTCCTCACTTTCAACGGTCAGAACAAAAAGCTAGTAAGATTTGTAAGAAAAATTGTTTACGGGAGAACTAAGTCTAGCTCCCGATTACAAGACACTTGCTCTCGCGAGTGTAAATAGCTACTAGCTTTGTAGCTCAATCAAGAGAAATTCAAACAAAATTTTTTTGTGGGATTATTTATCTTTAATTCAAATTTAAAATTTTATAATTAAATCTGTGTTTCATCGTTTGACTCATCTGCAGCTTTTGTTTCATCCTCATCTCCCATTTCAAATTTAACATCTGAACGTTTATTTCCGTCGTTATTTTTGCAGCTATCTTCGGGTATCGTTTTCATCCCTACTTTAACGCCTTCACGAGCATGGCGATCGCCATTTCGTTTCCTATCTTGAGAATATTTTCTCACTTGATTGACATCTGACGCATCTGCAGAGCCAACAGACCAAGAAGCCAGTTGATGGATGTTGGCGAGAGAATCCGGGATGGCATATCGAGATACGGTGAAGTTCGTGTTTCTATGTGTTAGAAGCCTCCTTTTCAGCTCCGTTTGGGTCTTTCTTGAAAGCTCAGAGGGTGGCTTGCCACTAAGCAGGGCTTCTGAAAAAAATCCTACATTAAAAATAATTCTAGGCAAAATTTTAAATAATAAAATGCACAATCTTTTCAGAAATTTATCCTAATGTAACGGTTTCAGATCACACTAAATGTTTAGAGGATACCAGAATTTCACAAGGATTAAAAACTAGCCTTTGGCACTTGACATCGGAAAATTCGTAGACGAGGTCAGCGGAGTCAGTTCTACCGAAACATCCGAGTTGCGTTTGTTCACGATCGACATAATTTGTTCATTTATCTCGTATTTCGTGAACGAATTCATCAGATCCATTTCTGAAGAAACTTCAATGTCGCGTAATAGATACGGCTTGATAAACCGATTGTTGAACTTCCTCCAATTTTCCCGCACTAAATTGTCACCATGAGAACCCGAAATGTTTTCCAATCCACTCATAGTATGATCCACAACTCGTAACGACATAATTTCCATCAAGTTTTTTTCATGAATGCTCAAGGTTTTAATACGAAGTAACTTTACCAGCGGTTTTATTGTTATGCCTTGAACAAAAACCGTGAAAAATATAACAAGCAACGTAGTAGCTTCTAAAGTGTCTTTTTTAGATTGGCTAACGATGTCAAGTTCAAGAGAGGCAGCTAAACAAAAAGCAACTGCGCCTCTAATTCCTCCGTAACTCATAATGAACTGTTGGAAGAAGTCAAGTTTTGTTTTTCTTCTCAAATTAGCGAAGTAAGTTAGCAAATAAGTGCCAATAAATCTGCAAACAAAACACGCGAACAAAGTTACCACCAGAAATCCCCAGTCAATATTTCGGACTTTTGAAATAGTCGCTAGTCCTAGAAACAAAAAAATAATGGATTCTGCTACAGACGCCAGCATTTTCAGAAAATACTTGACAGTTGTGTGACTTTTATGAGAAATATTGATTTCGACATACTGGCTCATAAACATTCCGCACGTTACAATGGCTAAAATTCCTGAGAAGTGGAAGATTTCGGCTGTGAGGTATGATATGTAGCCGATTGCGAATATGAAAATTGGCTCCAGAGAACGCACATGATCTGTGAACTTGGAAGTGAAGGACGCACATAAGCCGAAAATGATTCCGATGGCCACTCCGCCGAATGACACGCAGAAGAAATTTGCGATTGCACTTAAGAAATGATAGGCCTAAACAGAAATGATCATAAAACGATTTATAATATTTGACATGTAAAAAGAACTAAATCAACAGCCAAAAATGTTTTTGCTCTAAGATTCTAAAAAATTCAAAAAAAAAATCAGCTCAAAAATGTAAAGAAGAAATTTCATAATAAAAAATTCTTCAACAAAAATTTTCACGATGAAAAATAAATTAGAGAAGCATGATTGACGCTGCATGAAGTTTTTATTTGATCCCATCTACTATAAGACCTAATACGACAACATCAGATAGCACATGCTAAAAATACTTGCCGAAAGATAATCTTAAAAAAAACGCAAAAATACTTTTGGAAACGAATATAGTTGATGAACTTGAATAATATTTGGGGTACAAAGGTCAACTCTGGTAGACTGACGGTGAGATTGTCCTCGCCTATGCGGGAGAAGTTTTCCATCATGTGGTACAGCACAACTGTGATGGCGTCATTCAGAAGGGACTCCCCGAACACCAGGATGTAGAGGATTTCATTCACGTGGATCTCCTAAACACATCCAATCAACTTATCATCACGTGAAAAAATATATATTCAGCAAAACCGATTTCAGTTTTCTTGATTAAATTGAACTCGTTACAAATTTCCAACAACTTCTTTGCCCTTGCGATAAGCAAGGGTATTGCAATCGGGTACTAAACTTTTTTCCCGTAAACAACTTTGTTCACGGAATGGTCAATTCAAAATTCTTTTCCTCTCCGGCACCTTTGGTCTGTAGGTAACGAATGCGCCTGGGACGGCAAAGGTCATGGGTTTGAACCTGACAGAACCTGTTTTTTTTTTCAAAATTGTCAGCTTATTATTGTCTGCTTATGTTTTGTCGGCTTAATCGCCACATTGTAGAATAGATTTTTATTAGTTTTTTTTACATTATAGTTGCTTTTAATGTTCTGATTTACTTCTGGAGTTAGTAATTTTACAAGCCTTGATTTCGTATACTTTCTTGTTTTTTTTTTCGCTTAAAAACTATTCTGCCCAAATCATTTCGGCCTGTCTTTGATCGGCTGAGTGACCTAATTTCGCGTCGTTTTAACGGCAAATTCTTTTTTTATGCTCATCTCACAAAATGCCAAAAAATCTTAAAAGAAATTTTTCTTTTTTCGGCTTTTTTGTTTTTTTTTTCCTTTTTTTAGACTTCATAGGTTTCGGCCTATATAATATCAGCATCCTTTTTCATTTGGCGAGCAAATAAAGTTTTTTGAGTGTTTAAGTTTTGCTAGTGAGTGGGACTTATTAACTTTTCATAAGTCTAAGTATTATTGATTTTTTTCGGGCAAACGGTTTTCTGACAAGGTATTTTCGGTTTTGTTAACCCTGAAAACATTATCTTCCGGTGTTAATTTTATTGTCTTTGCACGTTTTTGTTTAAAAACCAGCCTTATTCATTTTGAAAGATCTAGTTTATTCGACACTTTCTATTTTTTTCAATTCGTTTTTCTTGTTAAGTATCGCTCAGCTTCGCCTTTGTGTCAAAAATTACAAATAATATTAAAATTGATGACATTTCAAAAATTTATATCTTCACAAGACTAACATAGCCAAATGAAATTTGGAAATTTATCTATGAACTCAATAAACAGAAAAAATGATAATGTTTATTTTATTAGTTTTTAACTTTTGAATTTCGTTTAAAAAAACATTAGGTTAAAAGTCTTTCAACAATTTATCTATGAACTCAATAAACAGAAAAAATGATAATGTTTATTTTATTAGTTTTCAACTTTTGAATTTCGTTTTAAAAATACATTAAGTTAAAAGTCTTTCAAGAATTTGACCCCCTTTTCATAAAAGTAACCCATCAAAAGGAAACCATTTAGGTGTAATCTGGGCTGTGTGAAAATATGTAACCAGCTGCAAATCGTAACATGCGACAACAATTCGTAATAGGCGACAAATCGTAACAGGCCAGAATTCATAACCAGCGTCAATTCTTAGCGAGCGATAATTCGGAACACTGACAATTCGTAACACACGAAAATCCGGAACACGCGGCAATCCGGAACGCAGAATTTTCAAGTGGCGAACGCTTGCTCCACTGCGCTTGCATTCGACACGAGAGGTATAGTGTGCGTGATTCGACACGAGAGGCATAGAGCATGTGATTCAGATTTAATTGTATAATCTACCATCACGACTTGTCGCCTTTTACGGATTTCTGTGTATTAAGAACTGTTGCCTCGCGTGTCATCAAACAATTTTGCAACCAAAACCTGTTGAAAAGTGTTTTAGAAATTACGTGCGCCGGAAAAAAATAGGAAGAAAGATCAAGTTAAAGCTCTTTCAATTTTCAAAACTCTTTGATTGCTGACCCTTTTTGATAAAATGAACAAATTAAAGACAACTGGATCAATAAGTAAACAGGGATCTTAAGATTAAACTAGGAAGAAATCAATCAGAATTTTTCGCTCCATTTGCACTTTTGTTAAAAGATAACTTAAATTGCTGACCAGTGATTGAAATGAACTTGAATTGAACTTGCAACGCAGGTGCGAAGCGTAGCTTCGCCTCACTAGCGATACAACTCGAGCGCAGCATTGCAAGCTAGCGAATAGAAAATAAGACTGAAATCACTAAATCGAAAAAATATATATATACTTTCGAAAGAAATGTTTAGAAAAATAGGCAAGAAACATAAAAAACAGCATTAAATAAGTTTTTCACGTTTTATCGAGCGAACACCAAGCAGACAATTCTTTAAGCCGATGCCTAAAAAAACCATAAAAATTGACATAATTGTTTTGCGGGACAAACTAAATGATTTTTTAATCAATTACTTCTGATTTTGGAAGCAAATTAAAAAATGTAGCTAAGACAATAAAACATAAAGCCGAACCAAAAAAAGGAAAATATACCAAGTCAGGGCTATTAAATTAACACAGAGGTGTTATGAATTGTGTAATGAATTCATAGTGTTCAATTTCAAATTCAGATGTAAGAGAAGTTGTTCACTAACATTGTGGCGGAAAAACGTTAGGGATCTTATGCTTTTTTCGACTTCACTGATCATGCAAATCGACAAGGACATCAGAAAAAAGAGTAAAATGTTTTTGTTTTTCAGTTTTCTAGAGCTGTTTATGATTATATCTCAAAGATCGAATTTATGTTCCTTTCCCAACAAACGGCAAAAAAGCAAAAAACGTCATACTTTTCCGTTGACATTTACCTTTTATATTTTTACATTTACTAAGATAACTGTTGCCAGAAAAAAGTGAGGGCTATTCTCATGTGCGAAGGACCGCATTCGCTAAAACTCTCAACCAATCAAGGCCCTTTAAACAGTCCAAAAAATGACTAATTTTATCGTTTATTTCCTTCAAAATTATAGAAACCGATATTTGATTGGCTGGCATAATTTTCGCGCATTTGGTCTTTCGCGTATTAAGGATTCCATCGGTCTTTCGCGCATTAAGGGTTCCATACTTTTCGCGCATTCGGTCTTTCGCGTATTAAGGATTCCATTAAGGATTCCAATCGGTCTTTCGCGCATTTAAGGATTCCATTAAGGATGACCATCGCGATTATTCTTTTTTCGCGCATTAAGGATCCAAAAGCTTCCAGTACCTCGAATACAGCGAGAACAGCGACTGGGTCGACGGCTGAGATGAGAGCACTGAAGAGGAAGCAAGTGAGGACACTCATGTCCACGCCACTCTCGTCCACTACGTACCATCCCATCAGGTGTCCCCCGAACAGCAGCAGTCCAATGGACACTGTGTTCCATACAGTGCCCACCAGTGCGTAGAGAAGAATGGTGCCTGGATAAACGTCATTTCTACTTAAAGCCCTTTATTTTAAACATGTTTTACACATCGACTGATATTTATTAGTCGTCGGATTTAAATGTTTTAAAATTGTTGTGGCTTGCTGGACTTTCTTCCGAATTGCACTAACATTATCTCTGAATTACACAAAAAATGGTTGCTTGTAGAACATTACAAGCAAGCAAAAATCGACCGAAAAATAATTGTTACAAGTTCTCATAAAGTAACTTCTTTTGAAAATGACAAGCAGCCCAAAAGTCATTGCTTGGGTGGGGTTTTTTCGATACTTTAACCTTTTCTTTAGCAATCAATGAAAGCCCAAATGTATAAGGTCTGAAACTAGATTTCATTGCCGTTGAATTTTTTTTCAATGAAGAACTTTAGTGCCCTCTACTTGCCCAGGTTCTCGAAGAAGAGTCTGACAGGCATGAAGTATCCTGCCTCGAACACTATGGGCGGTAAGAGATAGAGGAAGAAGAGGGATGAGTTCAGTTGGATGTAGGAGTGCTCCAAGTCTGCACCTGCCATGTACGCAATAGCACCAATGCCGATTCCTGAAATCGAACAATTAGGATATTCCAGGTTTATCTCTCCCGATATTTTCACTATAGTGTCGTTGGCGGATAACTGCGATGCAGAGCAGTTTTCCAATGAAAAGCAAAATGGAAATCAACATAAGAAAGTTTTATCCGATCTGCTCACATCTTAACAAAGAAGAAAATAGAGAAAATCTCAGCGGAACTTTAACCACCTCTGATCAGCCTCAGGCATTAAACCCTCAAAAATCAGTAGGGGATATAGGGGGGGGGGGCACTTCTGATCGAAAGCCTCTCAGGGATTCGACCCTCTGCCGACCCCCTTTGGTACTATTTTAAGACCTCAATTTTTGGCTGCCCGACTCAAATTTTTCAGAAGGCGCCTTGGGCGCCAATATATTCTAAGCTTGAGGGGGGAGCGTGCGCCAAAAAAACGTGATTTTTTTGGTCAACATTTTCCAAAAAGAGCCTTTTTTGGCAAGTTAAATTCAAAAAATTGCATGCCGCGCAGAGATTTTGGATCAAAATAGGGTCGTTTTGGCCGAAAAAGGTCGCCAAAATTTTGGAAAATTCCCCCTCGAGAATAACCTAGATCCACCCCGGCTAAAAACTAGGGAAACTTAGGTCTCAGAAAATATTTACTGATAAAAATTGGATGATTTTATATGACGGAATTTAAGGTGTCACAACTTTCTCGACGTTAAAGTGTTTAGGCGGTTCATTTCATTTGAAACTATAATTTGTCATGCTACTTATTTGTCATTAAATAGTTTCATATATTGAATGTTTATGGGCCCTAAACCCAGGACCACCAGATTGAACTCTGAGTCCAGTCCTAAATGTATCTGCAAGAAGCCCGTCAATGATGATGACAGCTCGGCTATTGGATGCTCTTCTTGTGGGAAATGGGTTCATGGCCCTTGTGTTGGACTTTCTATCGATGATGTGCGTTGGCTAGGGACAAAAGCAAATCTCCAGTGGCTATGTGACAACTGTCTGCAGAGAGGAGATAAGTCAACAATTTGCACCGAAGCTAAGTTGGATGCTTTATTTAATGACTTGAGCGATAAAATAAATACTACGGTTACAAATCTTGTCCCTAAACTTATCAGTGAAGTTATCCCTGGCGTGAATGAAAATGTCAAAGAAGCGGTCACTAAATCTTTACCTTCTTATAGTGATATAGTATCCGGCAGTAAGAAATCGTTACCTAATACTGAACTGCAGTTTGTTATTACTGGTATTCCTGAAAACGAAAGCTCTTATTTTAAGCAAATTGAAAACGACTCAACAGAAATTGATAGAATAATGCAACATATGGGATTGCATCCAGAGAATAATATCACTGCGATTCGACGCCTTGGAAAGATTACTAAATCTTCTCCAAATGAATTAGCTTCTGATAGACCAAGATGTCGACCCCTCCTTGTTACAACTTCTATTGACCGATTCTTAAATAACTGCTTTGCTCGTAGTCACTACCTTCAGAATTACATTAACCGAGTGTATATTAAAAAGTTCCTTTCACATTCGGATCGTCAAACTGAGAAAAATCTTCTGGCCAAACGATATCAAATGATTACTTCCGAGGCGAAAAACAAGAAAGATTTTCGAATCAAAAATCTTAAACTTTACTATAAAGGCGCGCCAGTTGACATATCCTCAAATTGACTAGAATCTACGAATTGCTTACTGTTAAATTGTCAATCTATATGTCCACTCGATAAGAGATACGAATTAATTAGTCTCTGTAATACTAATTTGATTTCTTTGGTGTTTCTTACAGAAACTTGGCTTAATCCCGACATTGATGATTCTGAAATTTTTCTTGGCTCTTCTTATATCACTATATGTAGAACAGATCGAGAACGAAGACAGCACGGTGGTCTACTTATTGCACAATCGGCCAACGACCCTCTCAAAGCTATGAATACTACCATTCCGTCATTTGAATTTGCCGTTTCATGTGTTGTATTAAGCGAACTACCCTCCTTCTTTGTTCTCATCTATAACCCTCCCATGTCTTCTATTTATTCTGTTAATATTCAACTCCTCCTAAATTGCATTGAGTCCTACTTGTTGAAGATTGAAGAAATTTTACAGCAATACGGATACGGAAATACCTATAATTTTTACCTTCTCGGGGACTTTAATTTTCCTTCTATTGATTGGAATACTTACTCCTCTTCTTCTACAAACGAACGCTCTTTTCTTGAAATCATTATCGAAAATGGTTTTCTGCAGTTTGTTACTGAAGCGACACATAAGAACAAAAATATCCTAGATCTCGTTATTTCTAATGAAATAAACTTACCTGTATCAGTTGGCAATCAAATTTTCTCCGACCACTACCCCATTTTCTTTAATTTTAATTCTGTCCATCCGACTTGTGAGCTGCAAAGTTCCTATTCCAAATCTTCTTTTAACATCCAAACTTTCAATACTTATCTTCAATCTATGTACAATTTGGTATCTCTTAATTCTTGCACAATAGAGTCCTATGCTGATAAGTGGTATAGTCTTCTCAATAGCTCGTTCAAGTCTGCCATTAAATTAAAACGTTCCAAAAGGAAGGTGTTGCCGATATTTTATTCTTCGCATACTGTTCATTTAATTAATCAGAAAGAAACAACACTTCGCAAATTAAAAAAAGAAAATTCTTATTTGCAGGCAATTAAATTGAAAGATATCACTAGATATCTTTCTGAATCAATTGAATTGGACAAAGAGGTCTTTATTAATCAGTTCAATCTTTCTTCTACGAGCGAATGTTTTAAGCTCCTCAAAACTCTCGGTTATAATTCTGCCCTTCCATCCATCATGTATCACGGCAATATTTCCTTGACAACTGAACTCGAAAAAGCTACTGGATTCAACAAGTTCTTCGCATCAGTTTTCAATGACCAAGAAATGTTCACATTGCCAGACTTGTTCTCCAATGTTTCGATTTGTTTAAACGATCTTAACTTATCATTACCTGATATTGAATCATTTTTGAATTACTGTCCCGACACTAGTAATACTGGTCCGGATAATATTCCCTCTTTCGTGTTATCTCACTGCTCTGATATCATATCACCCCTCGTTTACGATTTATATGCCTGGATATTGAAACACAAAAACTGGCCTAGTCAGTGGAAAACTTCTTTTGTTACCCCTTTATACAAATCTGATGCTCGCAATGACATTACTAACTACAGACCAATTAGTATTTTACCACGAATTTCCCTTATCCTGGAAAGAATTCTTTTCAACTTTATTTATCCAAAAGTTAGACATCTAATCAAACGTCAGCAACATGGTTTCATGAAGTCGCGCAGTACTATCAGCCAATTGATCATCTATCTCGACTCAATTTATTCTTCCTGCGATAAAAACTCTCCTGGACTAGCCATTTACTTTGATGTGAGAAAAGCTTTTGATTCAGTACCGCATCATTTGTTACTTGCTAAACTTGTTATACTCGGCTTTGATTTTGAATTTCTCCAGTTGTTTGAATCTTATCTGTCAAACCGGTATCAGTGTGTGCTAATAAATCAATCAATTTCGTCTCCTCTGCCAGTTACCTCGGGCGTTCCTCAGGGGAGTGTTCTCGGCCCACTTCTGTTTATTTTATTTATAAATGATATGACCGATGATGTGTTAAATAGTGAATTTTATCTATTTGCAGACGACCTGAAGATTAAAAGCTCATCTGCTCCATCATTAGTTCAAAAAGATATCGATTCTCTTTTTAATTGGTCAACTAACAATCACTTACAGTTTCATTCTGCCAAATGTAAAGTTCTGAACTTTGGTGGTTATGATGATTCTATCCAATTCTTGCTCGGATCAGACATCTTACCATTTGTTGATGAAATTAAAGATCTTGGTATCATAGTCTCCAACAATCTTTCCTGGAAATCCCATCTGAATACTAAGTTGATAAAATGTTCCAGATTGTTTTATTTTCTGAAACGAAATATTCCTTTCTCGGTATCCTACAGTCGAAAAAAGTTACTTTACAATACTCTCATTCTGTCAATCTTACTTTACGGTGCTCCTGCATGGTGCCCTTCTTTGACACTATTACATCAGCTTGAACTGTTCCAGTACAAAGTTCTAAGATGGATCAAGAAATGTTCATCGTATGTTTCAGGGCTACTAAATCTGAATATGCTTCCAATTAGCTATGTATTGATTAGAGTTGAAATTCTTCTACTTTGGAAGCTCCATAACAATGTTATTGATGTTGACTGCAAAAGTGCAACCAGCTCGCTTCCTACGCGTTCCGCTACGAGTGGCCTATTCGTCATACCGAACACGAGGAAATTGAAAACTGACGATAACTTCTTTGTACGAGCTCCCCGTGCTGCCAATGAACTTCTGCGTCTGAAAATTATATCTTTCGACATGCCCCTGGGAATGTTCAAATCAAAACTGAATAAATTTTTACTGCTTAAAACTTCAACTTTGTTTGATATAAACAGATCATGCACATTCTTTGTCAAATGTTTTTGTAAAAATTGTCGATCGTAAGTTCATTCAATATTTATATTAACCCTGTATCCACCAATGGAATTAAAGTCTTTTACTACTACTACTACTACTACTTTTTTAACAAAATAAATTCCTTACTTCACTATAAGTACGTACCCAGGACGACGAGAAGACAGCTTTCCGGTATCATTTTGGCAATTCTCTCCGAGTAGTGGAAGAGTGTCTTGATGTAGGATACGAACACCACCCACGTGACCACTATGAGAGGAAGCTTCACATGATGCAAGTCAAACGAGGCTATCGGATACCCTGCCGACGATGACGACTCCGAATGACCACTGTCATGGCCATCATGGCCCGAAGAAGCATTTAAAATGTCTTCATGATTCATTTTGGACGAAACTGCAGTGAAACAAAATCAAGCTAGATTTCAAGGAACCGATTTTTGTTTAAAAAAAAAGGCTTCGGATAATTGAAATTTCAAAAAATACTTGTGTAACCTTGAAAAAACCATCTGCGCTATTTCCACGCTCTATTTATTACAATTTCTTTTCTACTAAACAGGACTTGATAAAAACATCTATGATCTTTACCAATTTCGTAACATAAATTGAAAATCATATCTATAACTGCAATTATTTTTCGTATTAAGAGAGAGCTTAGTGAAAACTCAGCCTCTCATTTGATAGGTCAGTGGCTTAAAAATCAAGGGCATATAAGAGTGATTTTCTGTCAAAAACCGAACAGTACTCACCAATTTTAAAAAGATTGCTTGCCACGGGACTTCTGATCAGATATAGAATACCTGTTAACTTCAGCCACTGAAGAAACTACTTCTGTAAGATAATATACAGTACACTGAAGATATAATATTAGTAATTGAGGCTGAGAAAAAACTAACAACGCTCATTTTTTGTTACAATCGAAGTCCAAGATCCAGGCGTGTACGACCAAAATACATAATTTTTTTCAATTCAAATGATAGCAGACAAAACTGCTTTTTGAAAGAAAACTCATAGCCAAAAAATTGAACAAAATCACCGGGACGGGACGCCTTGAATTGCATAGGTAAAGTGTATGTGTATTTTTTTATTGCATAACGTAACTGTATTGTAAATGTATAGAATACTGATAATTTGGTTTGTGTTTTACATGTTCAGAATATGTTTCTTCCTGCAACATTAACGCTCACTAGTTTTTATATTCTACGGGTAAACTTTACGTGGATTCAGTTCAAATCCATTAGATTTATATGGATTTGAACTTCTTCAAAAGAAACTAACTAACCGAAATACTTTTTAATCGAACGTTACGGTATAATTCAGAAATAACATTGTTCGTAAAAAGGTATCATACGAGCGCAAACGTCTCTATAGCACGAAATAAAATGAAGCAAATTTTGAATTTGTGTTTAACAATGTGTATCATTTATCAAAGACCGATTGGTCACAAGTTAATGTTTAATAAGAGAAAACAGCACTTGTTGATTTTTAAGGAAAGGATTGATGAATTCGGAACAATGGAAAGGATTCTGAAGGTCCAATTTAAATTGCGGCGACAGAGAAATAAAGCAAAAGCTCTTCATCTTCTTTTGTTTAAAAAAATAGCGGCTTTGAATATCAGCGTATGCAGTAAGTTTTGCTTACATGTAAGAAACTGGTTCGAACAGCAAAATAATCAAGGTAAATGTAACCGGTATTCAAGGACAATTATGGTTGAGTAGCTTGCTCAAATTGTGAACACGCAATCAAGCGAGCCGCGGGAATCAATCACGCCTAAGGACCGAATGCCCGAAAATCATGCCAGCCAATCATACTTCAGTACAGTAACGGATATGCAGGAGGGGGTGGACGCTTCGCCCTTCCCCTCAGAGTTTTGACCCCCTGACTACCAAAAGGGTAGCCCTTTGGCTGATAATTTTTGCGCATTTAGTCTTTCTGCTATTTGAACAAACTCCGGAATACACAACATACACTACCCTTCGGTTTGACAACTCTCTGATTTTGGATGACTGATTGGCTATTTCTGTTTTACCTCCAGAAGGCATTATTGACATAGCGATATATCTACCCCTGTATTAATCTGGGTCGAACAGATAGCAGGGAGGAAAATTATGTTATTTATACACCCCAGACTGAGGTTGAATTACGTTTCACGCGACTTTCATTAGCAGAAAAAAAACATCAGGAAATAGCGTCAAACAGGGCGGTTCAAAATTTAATTTATCGAATTTTTTGTGGTTACTCAATCAGTGAAAATGATAAATCGTTCCGTTTACTGCCACGTAGTAGGAAAGGTCTGGGCTAGCGTGACTTTTTCGCGCGATTTTAGGAAATTCAAAAAACTGGGAGACGATCTGGTATTCTTCACATCAAAACCCTTTCACCCCTGAATCGGATTTCAAAAAAAAAAAGTAATCGGGCCTGTATGAAAACTTGATCTCATTTCAAAAAAAATTACGAAAATGTCGAGAAAAACTGGCATATTATTTTTGATATTCAGTAGCTCCCAACGTGCCGCCTACTTCATTTATATTCAATCCACTTTTGTATCCCGAGAAAACTAATGTATGCTCCAAAAATATTAAATAAGCAAACGAGCAAATATAGAGTTTCTAACCTTAAAAGCAAATTCCAAAATTGAATCAAAATCGGTCTAGGGTTTCGAATATTCAGTACTATTTCTTTTCTGCAAAAAATCTATATTAATAGACTAATTAATTGCCAGACTCGCTATCAAGCCATGTCCAGATCCGATTAGAAAACAAATTAAACTGAAAACAAGCTTAGCAGTGGCATTTCAACCCCCCTTAAGTAATGCTAACATCAATTTTTATTTGCAGACATTTCAAACAAATCAAATTCTGAGCATTTAACAAAACCGTTAACTAACATTTTTTTCGGTAGAAATAGGACTTTTCAGTTTGATAATTTTACTTGGGCATTCCTTGAGCTTGGACGCAAAAATGATTTCTAAAAATTCTCATTTTGTCGTCAAAATCAATTAACAAGATTAACAATCAATACTCGAGTCGAACACAATGGTATTTTTCTCAGCTGAATGTCAAAAGTATTCTTAGATCCCGCTCGCTTAACTAAAAGACCAAGTGGAAACTTCAAACTGGTAGAATAGTTTCATTCTTTTGCCAGCTGACGCCAGTTCTAAAACCCAATGACCGGAAACGAAGAAATTTACACCACTTTACACACTTTTAGGAAAACTAAAGCGCAGATAAATAAAACTTCAGTGCAAATTTTTTGATTTTACGCCAACAAGAAACCGCTATTTCAAATTTCTTTTTCTCTATCAATGTTTTTAAAAGAAAAAAGTTTTTGAGTCGTGTTCTAAGTTATTAATTTATTTGTGAATTTAATTCAGTTGATTGGCTGACGTCAATAAACTCAGGACGTCACCGTCTTGGCAATGATTACAAAAACAAGATATCCTAAATTGTGGAGCTAATTAATATTGACGAAACTATTAAGGTTAGAGTAGCTAGGAAGACAGACCGAGAATACATATCATCGACGCGGACAAGTAATATAAATCGACCCAGGACGCTTCCTGATTGACTGCCACTCTCAAAACACCAGTAATGTTGTCTCACTGTAACTATAACCGGGTATGAAGTATCGGTGTCAAGGAAAAAGATACTTAAAGCTTTCAGGACAAAAGATACCGTAACAAAAATTCCATGTACTACAATTACCATGACGTAAGATCGCATGCCAATGAAAAAGATCGCATAAATTATGAACGAAATGCATGATAAAAAAGTACTCAAAAGTAAATCTAACGTAATGATACTTCAATAAGGTTAGCGCTATTAATTACGCAAAACTAAGAAAACCAAAATCAAACTGTACTCAATTTTTGGATGAGCATGCTGCCAGCACGTGTTAATATGGCATTGAAATAGAACAGCTCAATTAAAAACGTATATATTCCGCATTCATTATCTCATTTTCTTAACTCAATGAAATATTATCTCAAACAGTAACGAGCATAGTCACGCATCTCAACTTAGGACGCTCAGAAGCTCGACAATTAGTTCAGCACAGGAAGGAGACAACAGCCATCAATCAAATCCGTTAAACAGCCAGATTGTCGCAGCTAGTTTACAATTGGTGCAGGACGAAAAGGCAACCCATCTGTCCTTGCAATCCCGGTCGGCGACACGTCAGCTTTAAAAGTTCTCGTTGAACGGCAATCAAAAACAGAAGATCTCCCAAATGTAGAAGAGGAGCAAACTCGTAGATATCTAAGTCATAAAATCTGGGCGAAACCTTGCAGAAAAAAAGACATGATATTGCAAAGATCTAAAAAAAAGAGCTCGAAAGATTTAAAGGGCAATTTTATAATCCAGCTTAGGATTAATCTGTCGACAACTTGCTACAGAGTCAGCTGTGTGGTCTTTTCATTTCTAAACTCAGAAAGGGCGTGTGTGTGTGTGAGAGAGATAGAACGGCTTAATTCTAAAAGACTATTAAAAAACTGTTTTTCTGTATCCAAATCACGACTAACAAGGCTTCACAATGATAACACACAGTCATCAAAAGTTAGCTTATAGTAGCTCAATTTGGGTGAAAACCAACACAGGGCAAAAAGCCTAAGGTCAAGCAAAGATCCTATTGCAAAAAGAAGGCTCTCAGAATGTCAGATAATGTTCGATCACCTGTCATGACAATGATAATGTGCCAAATCGAGCTCTAACCACAAGATCTATCTAGATCTACAATAGCCTGATAAATTTCATAGCCAAGAGTGGTATCACGTCAAATTTCCAAAACAAAAGAACGGCCTAACTTAGCAAAAAAGAGCTTCGTTCAAGAAAATAACTCGGCGGAATGTGGAAAGAAAAAACCAAAACGGATAATCCATAGACAGGACTAATAAGCTTCTGTGCAATTCGCAGAAAACACCAAAAACTACACGGAGACTAAACGGAGCTTCGCTAGAAAATACAAAATATGTCGAAAAAAAAAACGTTTAAAAATTAGAAATTAAGGAACAAATAGAGTAATCAATTTCGGACAGAGGGGCGTAGCAGAGCTTTGCATCAATAGCGATATAATGCAAACGCATCAATGCAAGCTGGCGAATAGAAAACAAGAAAAAAATGACTAATTGAAAAAAAAACTTTAAAAAATTCGATGTCGAAAAAACGGTCGAGAAACACAAACAACAGCATTAATTCAGCTTTTTCTATTTACCGAGCGGCTTTTACGTCAATAAAACTTGGGTAGAATTCATTGAGCCGAAAACAAAAAATGCCATAAGTTTGTCAGGAAAAAATTTGGGCGATTAAGTTTTAAGACTTTAACCTTTTACACAACAACCAACTGAACTATTGTTTTAAATAGTAATCAATTTTTGCCTTTCAAACAACATTAAAATAATTTGACTTAGCCGATAAAACATAAACCGAAACTATTCAGGAAACTATTCTAAGCAATAGTAAAATTAAACACAGGCGCGGCTGCGCTTCGCAAACACTTGCAAAAACACGACCAAAAAACCGCTCTATCAAGTGAAATAAGAATAAGTAAAAATAAGCCTCGAATTAGCTAAAACTCGGCTACGTGTCGGATTCGAATCTGCAATATAGCAAATTTGAGTCCCACGCACTAACCACGGAAGCTTCAAATGCCCCAAACTCAAAGCTAGCCACCAATACTAGCCACCAATAACGCAGCTACATATGCTAATAAATTGTCAATTCAATGCAGCAAAAGTAGCACCAATTACAGAAAGACACAATTTTGCATATAATAAATTTGAAGGCATTAAGCCAAATTATGTATAAAATATGCATTTCAAAAAAAATTGCGAGATGCTTTGCGTTGGAAAATTTCTAAAATCGAGCTTTTTTGCATTGGTATGCTGTTTGAAACAAATAACTTTTTTCGGTTATTTGATGAATAGAAAATACATCAGCTGTGTCAATTTTTTACTAAACAATTGCCAAACCACATGTTATCAAAAAGCTGAAACGGTGCTTCAACAGTGGCACCAATACTTGCGACAGAGGTTGGAAAAAAAATCGTACTAAAACACTTTGCTTTGCAAGTGTAGTTACAGAAGTAAATGGAAACATTTGCAACTAAATGAAAAATGTCTAGAGCCTAAGAAACATCCCTAATGTGGCAAATCAGCCGACAAAACATACGCAGACAAACGAAAGTCCGCCCATTTAATTTTACCCGGAATTTTTTTTATACTTAGTGCAAAAAATAAGGTCCACCGGGACTCGAATTTTAGACCT